ATTTGGGGGGGGGGGGATAATTTCGATGTAAAATATTACAAATCACATGTGTTCAAAAGAACGAAGACTGTTGTGAAGTCGGTAATGAAATTCCGTGTAACATGAAAGGTGGGGAATTTATTGACTATATGAATGACAGCTTCTCAATGACTGCTTCACGTAGTTAAGTTATTTAAAAAAGTGAACTTTCTTTGTATAGGTTTTAGACTGAAATGTCATATTTAATGATACTACTTTAAATGCTGTGATAATTTCATATTCATCCATTATTTTAGTCAAACTGCGTTCGAGAGACACTACTCACTGGTCAGATATATTAATTTGTGGCAAGCACTCACTCTCAATTGTAAGATTATTAAAAGTAATATGAAAGAGCAAACACTTTCATTAAGAGTAAGAAAACTGGATTTTGGATCTTATTTTTTTAACAAGGATTCACGTGTCTTTACCATAAACATATTCTTTGAGACTGTTTTCAATAAAGCTATGAATAGTTAACGGTTATCGGAGTTGTGAACTGAGTTCTTACAAGTTGTTGAGATGCAAAATACTTGTCAATTACCCGGTGTTACACAGGGCCTAACCAGCAGGGCACGTTTCAACATAATACTACAGCGTTTAGTTTGATTAACGATCAAACCGTTTACCCCAGTGCCCCCTCCATATCCCTTCTCACTCATATTAAGAGAGAAGGAGAGAGCACGAGAGATAGGTTTAGTATGTTATCTCATAATAAATATGTCACCTTATTTTAACTCACCCTTCAGGAGTGAGGCAGAGGGGATGGTATAGACTATTACATAATGATAGACTATCTCAAGTCCTGGTGACGTATTTATGGCTGTTAGGGCTATAAATTTCTAACCCTGGTCACTAAAGAACAGCTTCTGACGTGTGGAGGGATTTGTACCATCAGCGGCAAAGTTTTGAGGCCACAGAAGTGTTCTACGTAATTCGTCATATATCACAAATTACAGTAGCACGTTCATACATAAAGGGCATATAATTCTTTCTGAGAAATAAAGAAGCTAACAGGTAGACACAAAAGTAGGGACTTCAGCACCCAAAACCATACTATTAGGTTTTACAAATGGTTAGAGTTTTAAAAATGGTGGTGGTCCTACAAAATAAATCACTATGATGAAAGTTCATGTTCAAAAGAGTAAGATTAACTAGCAAATCACTACAGGAAGCACGCGTTTCTTGCCGAGTTGTTTGTTACATATTCCACTTCATTGCGTCGCATTAGAAGTCTCCACACATACAAAGAAAAGCTTGGATTTAAAATTTTAGAGTTGTGGATGAAAAGGAATCTTGCCTTTCGTCTTCCTTTGCGAGCCTGACAAATTATATGCAGATCTAGAACCAAAAATAATGAGCATATCCACAAATAATATGAATCAAAAAGTTTATAAAATTTTGTTCTTTTAACACCTGAAGAGAAAAGACCACTCGAAAGACCGCGATGCAGATGGGAGGATAATATTAAAAGTCGTATTAGAGTAGTGTATGACAATGTGGACTGGATTCATCTGTGTCAGCACAGGGTCCAATAGCGGGTTCTTATAAACAAGGTAACACACCATAAGTTTGCATAATATACGGCAAATATCTCAACTACTGAGCGAATTTTAACTCCCAAACAAGAAATCTTCTTTGTGGTTTTCATATTTTACTGCAATGATCTCTGAGCGTATTTGTGTTCACGTGCACATGTCAAAATATCGTTTTCAGAAGAACACACCAAAGTATACGATCGAGAAATTCGTGATTTACGAAAACAAGACTGAAGTTCTATAGAATGTAAAATATAAAAGAAAGGCGAATAAAATAATTAAAACGTTTAGAAACATTGCATACAACTCGAAGGCCACAGCTTGTCTATCTGATAAATGAAATACAAATTTTCGTATTGCTACCCCATAGATCTGTATCCTGCGGAAACACTTTGATTTTCCCGATTTTAGATGATGAATAATATTTTCCCTTTATAAAATTATTTTATATCTTATGACTTCATAGGCGACAACTTGCTCTGATGTTATTTGTCCAGCCCCTGCATAAATATGTATTATTTTCTGATAAAATCAAATTAAAAAAAGATATAGCGATTAAGGAATCAAAACTTATAGAATACTAAGTTTTCTTGGTGCCCAAATGCAATTAATGTATTTTATGTCTCAGACACCGACAATCCTGACTGTGATTTCTCGAGGTTTTCCTAACTTATTTCATAAAATTCTGGGATAATGCCTTAAATTAGGCCACGGCCGTCACCATCTACCTTCTTTACAATTCATTATTGATTCTTATCATCTAACGCCACATACCCTCAGCAACTGACACCTTTGTTACGTGACAATAGAATTAGTATTTTCTGGTAATCTACCGTGGAATTCAGGGAAAAATCACTTCTGGAACCTGGGCTTATATGCCACAGATTCAATATTTAAATATAATTCACAATAAATTTGTTAATATTAATAGTTAATATGCAACATTGTTTTTGTTAGTTAAAATAAAGGTTAAGAACTGCATTAAATACGAATGACATACAAGAAAGCAAACTAATAATTCTTTTAACCTCTATAACAGATTTTGTGTTTTCCGCGTGAATAGGTTTTTGACTTTATCCACTGCATCAGGTAGAGTTATTTCACTTTCGCTTGAAGATATTCGTATCAAACTACAGTGTACACACAGTTACAAGCCTTTGTAAGTACGTAAGTGCTTTCAACTATTCACACGACCACGTATTAAGGTCTTACTTACAATGTTGATGGATTTGAATTTAACCCGCAATGGACCACAATGATGATTACTCCGTATGCTTCTTCATGCTCAATTAATTTGAAGGGACTACTAGTATTTGATGTAAGGATTACTGTTTTGCAACAACTGTGTTAAGTTTGTGCTACTGTAGTCAAAACGTTTAGAGTTATCACATCATGTAGTGCTTATAATCGTTCATAATGATTGTCATGTGACAGAAATAATTTTGATTTACCACAGGGTAGCTTCTAATCGGAGAGCAGTCAATAACAAGATTTTACACTTTAAATATTAAAGGTGATTTTGATACTTACGGCACAGTATCGAAAACTACGGTGATAAATAAGCATACAAAATGTTGGTCGAAATGCATGTAGTGGAGGGGGTCGGAACACTTGAATGACAATAAATTTTAGGATGTTAATACCATGAAAATATGTTAGTATATAAAGAAAGGAATTAAATTTAAATTCTCTTCAGTAGACTTGAGAACTTGAACAACCAACAAATTGTTTTCGGTACTGAATTATAATGTTGATTCCTCCCTAAAGAAAACTCAGGCTGTGATACTATTAATAGTTTATCGTACGTAATAAAACAGACTTTCGGTAACAGCCTACATATTCAATAAAGACCAATGAACATTCATGCCGTCTGCCTCTTGTAATAAGACTGAACCATCATGACTAGGACGTCAAAATAAATAAAAATGGCGAAATAGAAAGAAAGAACTGCGAAATTAATTTAGACTGCGTGCAGAACTACTTAAAAGATTCACATCGCTGCTGATTTGCTAGTTCTACTGCTTCGTATTCAGGATTTCCGAGTTTAAATGTCGACCCGAAGGCCAGCAATAGTGACTTAGTCTCGTGGTTTTCCTCAACTCACCCTTCCCTCAAGAAAATGAGAAATATTGCCTTAAATTAGCCTTGGCCTTCCCGTTCCGTATGAATTCAGTAACCAGGTTTCTAGTTAAATGTTCTCAGAGACTGAAAACGTTGTAAAAATAAACCAAGAATAAACAATATATGTATATATATATATATATATATATATATATATATATATGACTTCACGAGGATCAAACAAGACAAGTGGATAATAAATAAAAATAATAAAATTAATAACTTTACAAATAAAAATTAACACAAATGATAGTATGTGATATACCTATATGAGATTTAAAGTATTTAGGGCGGTGAATTCGTCCACGGTGGTCTTCTGTGCTGTGATACCCTAAAGGTAAAGAAATTACGTTCGTCCAAAACGTTTGTGTCCACCGAAAAGTCCACATGGGATCAAAATTCAGAACACAATATATGACATACGTTTTTGAAATTATAAAAACTTGATTGATGGATCAAACAATGGTGAAAATACTCGTATTAGTGCTAAAATAAGTAAGGACAGTAATGGAAAAGGCGAGAGGGGTAACCCCACGTCTTGTTTGTCAGTTAACGAGTTGATATCGGTAAGGTATTAGTGCAGCGCAAGGGCGAATGAGCGATTTCTGTCACTCGTGACGTAGAACTCTTTCCTTCATGCAATTTTGAACGTGGGAATTTCACCGACTGGATACAACTTTTCAGGCATCCTCTCCTCGTGCCCCTACATTATTTATATGTACAAGTACAGTCAATTTTGGAACCAAGTGCTTCGCGTTTCTATTTTCTTCTTGCGTAACAAAATATTTACACTCGTTTAGGGCAATACCGTGAATTCTCGTTACAAAAAAGCAATGCCAAATTACACTTTATTACACATTTCACAAATGAGTTAACACAAACCTACAAGTGCCAATCTCCGACACACATTTCGTGAGAAATATTTCATGATCGCATTTTAGAGGATACTACTGCCTGAAAGGGATGCATCATTAAGTATTAG